TACAATTGAAATTGTAAAACCAAAAACTTAAATAATTTTATATTAATAGCCGAATCTAGCATGAGTCCTACTTTTTCAATTACTATAATGTTGCAGTCCAATGCAAAACCTTGAACGAGTGTAGATCCATATGAGTACCTATATTGCTTTATTTATGTAATCATTAAAAAAAAAAAAAAGGCAATATCATGCTTTATGCATGAGTATGATCGATTAATATTGTTCAAAATTTCAAGTTAGGTCAATACATTGTGCATGACATTGCTTTGAGTGTAGGCTAAGTCAATTGCTGTTTAGAGAAAAAGGCTAAGTCAATACATTGTGCATGACATTACTTGATAAGTAATGCTTAGGGTTTTAGAAAAATGATATGAGCAAAACACAGTTGAGCAAATCTGAACAATTTTTATTTTCTTTGCATGCATTTTTGGATCTGCTGCTAATTTTCAACCAAGATTTAGTGTTATCTCTGTCTTAGTATATACTGAATTTTGGTGCTACATTGATTTGAAGTTGTCCTTGATGCCATTTGAATTTTCTCTATTCAAATACATGGTGAAACAATACGCAGTCATTCAAGATTACAAGACAAGGCAATTAAGCTTCTGGAAATTCATTCTGATGTATGGAACAGAATAGATAGATCATTCCAAGTTACAAGATGCATGGTCACAATTTTCAGCAACTCACAATTTTGAGGTTCTTTCTACTTTTTGTTTTATTATTTGATGAAATCTTTTCTAAATGTGGTTCTACCAACCCAAATGATAGGTTGGTACCACTATTCTGTGAGGCAGTTCTCCTGCAACAGTTGCCAGAATGAGGACGTTATAAATTGCAATTTTTAATAAAAAAAGAGATTAGCAAGCTTCATTTATTTGTTCTGACTCAACAGTTCAAGCATTTACGAGAGAAGAGATTGCAAGATACACCATTTATTTTTACGCATTTTACATCATAATTTGCACATTTTAGGCCCTGGTAGAAGCCTATAGCACGCGGTTGCAGTATTCTCCCAGTGCCCATATAGGAAAGGTGTTTCTGTAGGTTGCATAACTAATCATACAGTTCTTGTTGAACACTCCGACAATCTCCTAACAAAATAAATCACATGAATAAGCATCCCTTTTTTAGATGATTTGCCTTTATCATCCATAAATTTCGTATTCTCTTATTATAGTTAAATAATTTACATGCTGTATTTACCTGTTGTGGAAAATCTCCATTTTCCATTTGTGAGTTGATCAATACTAGTGCTGCACGATGGAGCGGGACTGGATCTCTTTCTGCCTATTCCATACAAAAACCAAATCGATACATTGTTCCCTTTGCTACTCATATTCATTCTCATTCAAATTGCATTTACCTGTCCAGCTTCAATCAGAGCTAATGTTGCCCATGCCGTGTGGACTAGATGTGCTTTGTTCCCTTCCAAGTTTGTATATACCTGCTCCATGTTCAAGATAAGTTAGAGATTTTCATTGTGTTTAAATTGAATGCTTAAGTGGTGCCTGGTGTTTAAATTGAATGCTTGAGTGGCGCTTAGGTACCTTGTTTTGGGCAGAAAGATAGCTCTCTCCCCAGCCACCATTATCAAGTTGCTTGGATAGTAAGAAATCACATGCTCTTCTAATGCTGTAACAGTTTTGGAATGTCCTACCAGCAGCCACCAGTCCCTTTATCCCAAACCATGTTCCATAAGTAAAGCACACTCCCCATGAGCCATACCTATTCACAAATTCAATTCACTTCTCCAAAATGTAGATTGGTATTTGGACTTTTAGAACCAACAAAAGTTTAGCTTAGTTTTAATAACTTCAAAACTTGAATTTAAGGATCTTGGATTAAAATTTCTGTGTAACAGCTAAGTACGCTAACTTTCTCAGGTACTGAACAAGAAATATTGGAGATTGAAATCTTACCAGGATCCATCAAGTAGTTGTATGCTCTCAATGAAATCAATTGCTTTGGCAATACAGTCTTCTATTTCCTTCCTCCGGTGTCCAGGATGTACTTTCATAAATGTTGCAAGGCATTGAATTGCTGCTGAAGTGCATTCTACATACCTACATTATCAAGATATGCCATTGCTTTAGCTGAATTAAAACCCAGTACATGCATGATAAAAAGTAGGGAAAATCGTACTGATAGTCAATCATGATCTCTCCAAATACTTGAGCTGAATTCAACATCTGTAATACAAGATGAATTTGTAATTAAAATGAATCATCAGTCATTTCGCTACAAAAAGAAGTATATTTATAAGAATATATATATATATATATGTATGTATATATATGTTGTCCTTGCCTCCAACCATGCATATGATCTTGTGAGTTCAAATGATGCATATCCTCCATTGCCATTCTGCATGGATAACATGTAATTAACACCATCATATAGTTGATCTGCTGATATTGCTTCTCCCACAATGTTGGATGGCATTTGCGATAACAAGACTGCTATCTGGAAACATTATATGAAATTTTACTCAGTCCTTGAATCGTGATATATTGGAGTTCATATACAAATAATATCACCGATGAAGGAAACATATCGAATGTCTCTTGAGAAACTTGATGTTTGATACATAGTGGGCTATAATGATGGAAAGGTTTTACCTTCAAGGCTTCTGCAGTGCAATCAGATACAGACCAACCATTGTCTCGAGTAGAGAAAGGCCATCCTCCCTTGGAAATGTGGCGGTACTCTGCAACACTGTCTTCCCTAATCTGGTATTTGCGATAACAAAACTCAATAGATTAGTTAAAAGTTAAGGCTGATTTTTGAAATTGCTAGAGAGTTAAGATATATGTATGTATGTACCTGGGTGTTTCTAATAAAGTTGTGTGCTTTTTTAAGCATGAAACCATATTCATCGACAAGGTCAGTAGCCAGGATTGCTTGAGCAGCAAAACCAACATCCCAAAGTTGGACCCCATTGAATCCCTGCATTTTCATGCCATCTTCAGCTACCCAAAGATAGTCCTTAATCCTTGAAAGGTGACGCTTATATGCTTCTGAGTTCGAGTCCTCTACCCAGCAACACACCATATTTAGAACCTAAATGCACACAGACTTAAATTATTCCTGGTGATAGGTCGAAAATAACCAGGAACAAAGAAAAATAAATGCACACATACCTTGTTGACAGGGGCAAGGCAGAGATAGTGAGTGGTTTGATCTTCATGGTGAATGAGTTGCATCACAGAGGTGAGAGCCCTTTGTCTCACCTTAGACAAGGGCCATTTCATTAGAAGAGGTTCCCCAATCTTTTGAAGACACCCCCACAGCATGTCTTGAATCATAGGATGTGGGTAGTACGAGTCCTCCTACACAAATATTGTTTATTAATGGTTTTCATTAGTATGATTTTTGGAATAAACCTGAATAGTTTAATGGTTTGTAACTCGACAGTAATTTTTTTTTTTTTAAAACACAGATGTACCTTAGCACATTGATTCCTGGCCTTGTTCCAGTCAATGCAATGGTAAGGAAGTACATAGAGCTCTTTTCTTAGAGACAAAATTAATGTATTTATGGACCCAACAAATCTCTTCCCGTATAAGTATGACATCGCCAAATACACCATCCGACTGTGACACCACATTCGTCCTGTGACAAGGATTTGACTTTTAATTTATTATAATAAAAAAATTCCCAATAAATATTAATAATTTTTGTAGATCAATAATATTATAGTTATAATCTTACATACTATTGTAAGATTACAATTATAATAAATTATTAAATGAGTAAATGTATTTATTATCATAAATAAATTTTAAAATAAAAAAAATTAATTATATAATATATATTATGATTATAAATATATAAATATAATATTATATTATAATTATATTATTTTTATTTTTAAACTGAAAAACAGACTAAAAATAAAAAAAGAACAAATAAATTGACATGATTTCGACCTTAATTTGTTTTTTTGGCTCATGAAGCATGAAGTCATGAACCATTTTTCTTTTATACCATTAAAAAAATGAGAAGAGGAAGAAGAAGAACCTGGATGGGTTGGGACAAAGTAGGGAAGAAGCCATAACTCTGGGGGCATCGGATTGTTTCCACTCCATTCGTATAATCCCAACACCTGTAGGATTTTACTTTAATTTTCATTACTTTTTCTTGCAAAAAATTAAAAATCATCCCCTATTCTATAATATGAAATATATTAAACTCTAAAATATATAATTTCAGATAAAAGAGAAGGTTCTCATGTCAAGCACTCTCTTTAATGTAAGAATAATTATTTTATAATTTAATATGATTTAAAAATAAAATATTTAAAAAAAAATAAGAACGTACTGAAAGCCACGTCTTGCCCCAGGAGGGAATGAAGGTGACACCACCACGATCAAGAATCCAAGATCTTGCTTTCTCCATGGCGCCATCTCCACCGTCCATTCTTTCTCCGAGCAACCTCAGGGTGACATATGAGAGTGCTGTACACAACATTATGCTGCACCCTTCTATATGTAATCCCCACCCTCCATCTTCGTTCTGCAACCACGTGTGAAAAAAAATACGCACATGTCTGAAGAAAGTTTAAAGTAGTTGACCCTCAAACTTTTATAGCCTTAGCAACTACCCCCCGAAAGAGGATAAAAGTGACATTTTACTCCACTTAGCTAGAGTAGCTTACAAGAAACTTGGCTTGGTGGTTGAGATGGAGCCGTAAAGATCCTTGAACCTTTCATGACTCACATTCCAGTCCTGTGCAATTATAATCCTATTGCTAAGCAGGGGAAGGGAACAAGATGTTGCCTCTAGGCAAGGACGAGGTCAAACTTTTAGGTGAGAGGAGGTGAAATTTAAAAATTTTTCAGAGTTATAATAAATGTGTATCAATATAATTTATATCAATTTTTAACTGTTAGTTATATAGTTTATTAATATAGTTATTTATATTGTTATCCCTCTCTTTTCCTCATTTGAATAAATAACTAAATTAAAAGAAAAACCAAAGTAAAGGGTGTTTTTTCCCTTCTCCTCTATTCTCCTTAATTCAAGCATACTATTATCATAAGTCTTAAATTTGATCCATAATTTTTACAGACAAAGAATGTATATATATACTAATTTTTATATTAATCACTAATTTTATAAGTAAATGTACTATTTATAACATATATGCCAAACTATAAATTAATTAAATATATTTAATTATTTTTAAATAACAGAGATTCAATACACTTAAACAAATAATACAAAATAATAGAAAATATATTAATAAGTTGAATAAAAAATTATAAAAAATATTTTAAAATTATGTTATTTAAATAAACTCTAATTAAAATAAATAGACTAAATTAGCATATTTTTTGAATAAGAATAAAGAATATATTAGTATTTTTTTGTGATACTTTATTAGAACATCTTGATTTTACAATATTTTTCACCTTATTTTTTTGCAAGTCTAGTAAATAAATACTAATCTTATATAAAATATAATACCTTTTTTTATATGATTACAAATATTAATGAATTTTCAATTAGAATATAAAATCTAATTATTAAATTGATAGAATATAAATTGTACAGAAAATTACAACTAATGTAAAATCCTTTTTCATTCCCAAATAAAATTATTTGTCTTAAGAATTAATTATAAAAAAAGAAATAGTCCCTTTACATAACTCCTAAATATTTTCTTTAAATTCAACAAAGTCCTTATAATTCAAATATCAAAAACAAATTTTGTACTACTAAAAAATTGATGTACTAGATTAAACATTTTTTTTTTTAAGCTTAGGGGGGCCGGCTGCCCCCCCTTGTCCTATGGTAGCTCCGTCCCTGCCTCTAGGACTCAAACCTCTAGCAGAAGCAGAGGCAAGTGCATACCACAAGGGCCAGTGGCCAAAGAATCACTTGAACTTGTAGGTCAGTTTCATGTTATCAAACTAGTTGCCATTAAAATTGCCAATCTCCTTACAATAATGATCTAATTAAGGTATGTTGGACCGCAATGGTCCAAAGATTGTGATGGATATTTTACAATAGAATTTTTCCTCTTATTTTTACCCAAAAAAATAAAAAATCCTCTTGTTTTGTTGTGAGGATTGTGATTCCGATGAAGAAAGGATGAATTTACTACTAATATAATTTGCATAATTTTTTTTTAAAAAAAATACCTGATGGTTGTACAAATAGCGGCATATCTCTTTCTTGTCCTCCAATGGAAACATCATATCCAGGGCTCCCGTCACAGCCAAACCAATCACCTATTAATTTATTTATATATATTATGGATTGTGGAAAAGTCTAAATAATTAAAATATTATGAATGATAATAAAATTTTTTAAATAAATTAAACAAACCAATACATGTAAAAATTTATTGAAAATATTTAAATAATTTTATAGATTGTACTAATTTATTATACAAAATGATATTATACATGTATGAAATTTTTTATTAAACATTGGCATGGATTGAATATAATAGTATTTTTCATTTGGATGCGGCCCCTGTGAGAGGAATTGCATTTCTATTGAATCGTTGGAATATCAACTAGTGTTGGGGAATATTGCGGAATTGGATCTGCTCTGGAAAAAAAAAAAAAAAAAAAAAAAACTGGGATTGGAGATGTAGTTTGGAGGATTTAATTAGAGGGAACCATTTAATTTATGATATCATTTAAAAACGAAACGAAAGTTTTCTCTTTCCATATATGCAACTGCCCTCAATCCATTTTCACGTGAAAGAGAATGAAAGCTCGATCCATCTCCATTCTTCTCCAGGATTAATGTTGGGACCAAATGATTAATAACCGGCGGAAAGAAAATGAAATTCAGGACAACTTAATTGGCTTTTCTCAAGGATTGAGTAATCAACAAGACTACTGTATTTTACATCGTTATTCCAACCCCAAAGAGTTAATTCAACTTAGTTTTTAGAAAAAAAATTTATGTTGTAAATGTTAAAAATTAAGTCAAATGTAATTTTTTAAAATGTGTTTTTGTCTTTATATAAATCTTATATTTTTTCAGTTATTTAAAGATTAGAAGAGATGATCTATAAACCTTTAACTTGGAGTATAGATTTTACTATTAAACTTCTAAATCTTATAATTTTTATCAATTCCAGAATTTTTTATGATTATTTTCTACTAATTTATGAGTCAAGGCTTTTGAAAAAACCACACTTTTTTTAAAAAATGTTTTTTGGTGCTTTATTTTTTTTATTTTTTATGTTTTTTATTCTTATAAAAATCTATAAAATATTAATTAAAATAAATATTAAATGCATTAAATATATTTTATATATTTTTTAATATTAAAATATCAAAAATACCTTTGATTGCAATTACAGTTCAACACTATCAAATTACGTACAAAAGTTACATCTAATAACATGATGCATTTTCTTTGATCATTCCTCAGTCTCATCAGGGAAATAATATATGCTTCCCATGCTAATGAGAGATTCCAGGATGACTATGTCCATCCATTTAAGTATGAGTTTAATTATAAAAAATGGTCTAATATGTATTTAATTAACATATAACATGCTGATGAGATGGATAAATTGTTAGTAATTAATTAAACAAAGCCAAAAATGTTAGGAGTATACCAAGCCAGGAAGAAGAAACATGGGGCCGCCGAAGTCGCCAGGCCAAAACCCATCCTCAGCCTGCAGAGTTGAGTGGAACTTGAGGGCCCTTCTCAGTATCCTACTCACCTTTTCCTTCGTCACTTCTTCTCCTTCTAAAATCCTCACCTTTTCTAGCTCCATCTCACACGGATTCTTCTTTGCAAACTAATTTATTATACACATGATTTTATGCATGTAAAGTTGAAAAAACATTGTTATATATATATAGACGAATTAATCAAATTTTTTCCAAGTTACCTGGAGTCGCAAGAGGAGATCGGCACTGTGTTTGTATTGAAACCTATTGATTGTAAAATCATTGCGAAGCTTTTCCACATGTGCTCGCTCCTCAGGCGTTCCAAGGTTGGGGTCGAACTCCCAGTACTGCCTGCCGATATGATTGTTAGTGCTTGTAACCCACGGATCATCTCCTTGCGACGAAAGCGTAAGCTTCCACATTACTTCTTCCCCTACATACACCCTTTCAAAATCATGAAATGCACCATGGCAAATCTTCCGGCCCCATAATATAAACTAGGCAAAAGAAAGAAAAGAAACAGAAAACTTCAATATTGCAATCAATTTGCAGATTCTAACTTTGTACTTTCTTCAGTAAGGTTCTGATGAAGTACCTTCTTTGTTTCAAAATTATTCTGAAAAAAGAGAATTATAAGTTGGCTTCCTTTTGTAGTGAACGCGCTGGGTATATATATATATAAGAGATTAGTGTTTATTTATTTTATTTTTAAAAAATTAAAAAAAATAATTTAAAATTATGTCATTTTAATAAAATATCATAAGAAAAAATAAAAAATAGTCTAATATATA